ATTTACAATAGAATGGGGTACATAGAGTAAAAAACAAATGCATGCAAAACATATTGAGGAATTGGAAAGAAAGGTCTGACAAGAAAGGACCCTGGTAATGCTTCGTAAAAATCAACCAAATATTTGGTAAATATTTATTTGCTATGGGATCCTGTCAAATTATGAACAATGATTCAAAGGTACTGATCTGTAAGTTAATCGACAGAAACAATACAGTAAAGGAGCTTCTGTGTAGTTAGTGGCCCCTGAAGGTGTTTTGTATAAGACACCCAAAGCACAAACAACAAAAGCAAAAATAAATAAGTGGAACTAAATCAAATTGAAAAACTGTTGCTCAGCAAAGGAAACACTTAACAAAATGAAAAAAAAATGTGTGAAACTGGAGAAAATAGTTTTAAACTATTTATCTGGCAAGGAGTTGATATCCAAAATATCCAAAGAACTCAAATAAATCAATAGCAAACAAAACAAAACAAATAATCCACTTTTAAAAATGGGCAAATGGTAACAAAAACAGCATGGTATTGGCACCAAAACAGACATGTAGACCAACGGAATAGAATAGAAGACACAGAGATAAAACCACATAAATATAGTTACATTAAAGGTGCCAAAAACATTCACTGGAGAAAAGATAGCCTATTCCCAAATGGTGCTGGGAAAATTGGAAATCCATATGTAACAAAATGAAATTAAATCTCAATTTCTTACCCTGCACAAAACTCAATTCAAAGTGGATCAAAGACTTAAGCACTAAGCCGGGCGCAGTGGCACATGCCTGGAATCCCAGCAACTTGGGAGGCTGAGAAAGGAGGATCATGAATTCAAAGCCAGCCTCAGCAATTTAGCGAGGTCTTAAGCAACTCAGTGAGACCCTGTCTCTAAATAAAGTGTGTGTGTGTGTGTGTGTGTGTGTATAAATAAATGACTGGGACTGTTGCTCAGTGGTTAAGTACCCCTGGGTTCAATTCCCAGTACCCCCCACCCCCCCAAAAAAAGACTTAGGCACTGAAACAAAGACCTTGTGACTAATAGAAGAAAAAGTAGGCCTACATCTTCACCATGTCAGCATAGGATCTAATTTCCTTAACAAGATTCCTAAAGCACAAGAAGTAAAATCTAGAATCAACAAATGGGATTGATTCAAACTAGAAAGCTTCTCTTCTCAGTAAAAGAAATAATAAAAATATATTGAGAGAGCCTACAGAATGGGAGAAAATCTTTACCACATGCACCTCAGATAGAGCATTAATCTCCAGGGTATATAAAAAACTTAACATCAAAAAACAAAAAACAAATAACCCAATCAATAAATGGGCTAAGGAACTGAACAGATATTTCACAGAAGAAATACAATTAATCAGCAAATATATGAAAAAAATGTTCAACATCTCTAGTTATTAGAGAAATGCAAATCAAAACTAAGATTTCATCTCACTTCTGTCAGAATGGCAATCATCAAGAATACAAGCAACAATAAATGTTGGTGAGGATGTGGGGAAAAGGGCACATTCATACATTGCTAGTGGGACTGCAAATTGATGCAACCATTATTGAAAGTGGTGTGGAGATTCCTCAGAAAACTTGGAATGGAATTACCATTTGACCCAGCTATTCCATGCCTTGGTTTATACCCCCAAAGACTTAAAATCAGCATATTTTAAGTGATGTAGCCATGTCAATATTTATAGCAGCTCAATTCACAATAGCTAAACTATGGAACAAACTTAGGTGCTCTTCAACAGATGAATGGATAAATAAACTGGAGTATATATACACAGTGGAATAGTAATCAGCTTTAAAGAAGAGTGAAATTATGGCATTTGCCAGTAAATTGATGGAGCTGGAGAATATCATGCGAAATTAAATAAGCCAATCCAAAAAAACCAAAGGCTGAATGTTTTCTCTGAGACGTGGACATTAATTCACAATAAGGGATGGGGTTAGGGAAGAATAGAGTTTAGATTAGGTAGAGGGGAGTAAAGGGAGAGGAGAGGATATGGGGGTAGGAAGGATAGTAGAATGAAACAGACATTATTACCCTATGTGCATATATAACCACATGACCAGTGTGATTCTACATCTTATACAACCAGAAGAATGAGAAGTTATATTCCACTTATGTATGATGTGTCAAAATGAATTCTACTATCATGCATAACTAATTAGGACAAATTAAAAAAATAAAGAAACAACAACAAAAAAACCTCAACAAATATCCACCCCCATGGGCAAATTGGACTGCTGGACTGCATAGACATTTTTCTGAAGAAGACATGGCCTATAGATTGGCAATGGAGGTGTAGCTCAGTGATAGATAGTTAGCATGCTCAAAGCCCTGAGTTTAATTCCCAGTCACACACACAGACACACACACACACACACACACACACAGGTAGTGAAGAACAAAGGGCGAACAGGTACATGAGAGGGTACTCATGTCACTAATCAGCAGACAATATCAACCAGGATCACAGTGAGATATTATCTCAGACCATTAGAATGAATATTATCAAAAAGATAAGAGTGTTATTTAGGGTGCAGAGAAAAGGAAATCCTTACACACTGTTGATGGGAATGTGAAGTAGTCCCATCATAACGAAGAACAGTATGGAAGAACATTAAAAATAGAACATTAAAAATAGAACTAACATATGTCCCAGTAACCCCTCCTCTGGGCATGTACCCAAAAAGAAATGAAATCAGCACTACAGAGATATCCACCACGCACACCCATGATCATTCCAGCGGTATTCATAACAGCCAAGGTGTGGTCCAGTGATGGATAAATGGATAAAGAAATTATGTTTTATTTGTGTGTGTATGTGTATTCACACACACATATTATTCAGCCTTTTAAAAAGGAGCTTCTTGCTGGGAGCAGTGGTACATGCCAGCCTCAGCAGCTTAGCGAGGCCCTCAGGAACCTGTCTCAAAGTAAAAATGTAAGAAGGGATGGAGATATGTGGCTCAGTGGTTAAGCTCCCCTATGTTCACTCTCCAGTTCAAAAAAAAAAAAATGAAGCTTCTCCATTTGTTTCAACATAGATGAACTCCTAGGACATGCTAAGTGAAATAAGTCAAATCAAGACAGATAAATAGTGCATGATCTCACTTATAAGTGGAATCTAAAAGTGGTGAATTCATAAAAACAGACAGTTAGAAAGGTGGTTACTAGAGGAAGAGGGGGTGGGAAGGACAGACACCTGTTAGAGGGAAAAAAAACTTCCAGTTTTAAGATGAATAACCCAAGGGGATCTAATACATAGCATGGTGACTATAGTTAACAATTCTGAAATGTATACTTAAGGTTTGTGTATGTATCAAAAGCGAACTAAATGAGGTGATATATGTGTTAATTAACTTAGTTGTGGCAATTCTTTCCCTGAATGTATGTATATTGAATCATTTTGTACACTATAAAATATAGAATCTTATTTGTCAATTTTACCTCCAAGCTGGAAAAAATTTTATAAAGAAAAATTTTATCATTCATATCAATGCTCATTACAAATTAAAACCAAGTATCATAATGACAATGTCAATAATTTTGCAAATTAAGCATCAGTATTTGTTCTACTTCTTAGATGAGACAATTTTAAATCAAGTTGAGAAAAAAAGTACTGACAAAGCAGTTCACTTTCAGTAATCTGGGTTTTCCCAAATAGTGACATGCGAGCCAGTCATTTCAAAATGGACAGCTTGAGTTCCTCTTCAAGAATCAGAAATGTAGGTCAGGGCTCTGCTGACTTTTCCATTTGCCTCATAGCTGAAGGTTTGAAGTGATCATTGACAGGCAGGCGCTGGGGCAAGAAGACTCACACAGCCAAGGAGAGCAGCAGGCCAGCTCTGAAGTGGAAGTATGTACTTCACGCAGGTTGAGAGGTGAAGACACGCGAATCCTCCAAATGCTTAAAGGTAGTTCTATTTCCTTCTGGAAACACACAGAAAGAAAGACACTTTCTTTTATAAATTCCCATGTTAAGCTGATTCTGTAATGTTTTTAAATATCACATCATTTTTTAATCATTAATATTAAATAATCTATTAGGTGAGTAGTTAACTTCTAACCAGAAATCTTTAGGTCTTCTTTTGCCTCTTATTTATCAAGAAAAGCTCTATTCTAACATATTATGAAAGGGATATCTACATTCCTAAGCCGTAGGAATGCTTGTTCTTAAATATGTTATCATTATGTTTTATGTTTTTTCATGAGCCATGAATTGTGCTTTGAAGTTACTATTTCACGTGTTAAGACTCAAGTTTCTCAAAACAGATAAAAACATAATCACTGAATAACGTTGCATTTTAAGTAACTGAATTATCCACTAAGGTCAACTGGATAGCATAACTCGGGCTGTGAACTAATGGCAGTCTGGTTTTTCCATAACTTGTTTCTTTTGAGCTCCGCAGATGGAAAGCTCTGTTAGTTTAACTGGTGGCAGGCATGTCTGCCTTTGGCTCCTTTCATTTTTCTTTATTTTGTATCCTTTTTCTTTGGGAGTTCTGAGATTTTTTAAAATTTTTTCCAAGTTGTGCTCATCAAAGACTGACATTTCTAGAGCATGGTAGGTGCCTAACGCCAGTCAGGAGAAGAATTCATCATCAGAAATTAGAGCAGAAAGAACTGTCTGATGAGAGACTGAATTAGGAGGAACTGTCTTTTAATAAGAGTCAAAGGTCCTTCTAAGATAATTCATAGTGATTTTTGAAGGGCATCAAATTCCACCCTTTGGCTTTACTCCTCTACCTCTTATAGTGCTCCTCACATACCGTATATTACATGTATTTGCCCTGTTTCTTCCTTCCCTTCCTCCCACTCTTCCCTGCCTCCCTACATTCCTCCTTTTCTTTCCTATCAAAGATTTCCATGAAAGACAATAGTTGTTAGGGAAATGTAAAACTTTCTTATTCATTAAAATATTACAACTTAAACATTTTTCATGTCTATTTTTTTTTTCCCCCAGAGAAAGGAAAACAGCTTTTTCCTGCTTTCGGGCATGAAGCAGGTCACAATTCAATTGGACGTGGTAATAGCTCTCCACTTGCTCTTCACCTGGTGCCATGGAGGTACAGTATTTGGCACATCTTTTGTTCAACAAATAGGTTATCAAGTGATTGTTATTTTCAGTTATTCTGCCAGACTCATTGAAGAATATGAAAATTATCAAATTAGGAAAATTATATATACATAAAATATATATAGAACAAAATAAAAGTGGTCTAACCTTCCTCCAAGTGCAGGATTTCTTTCCTAAATATCCCTAATGAACAGCCCGTGATGTTAAATAGGAGGCTATTATGTGAGTGGGCATATTCTATTTTTTAATTCTAATATATTATTTTATTTATAACTGTTATATGACCAATCAAGTGTTTGAATTTAATTCAATTCTATGAACCATTTATTGATGGTCACTTTGTGTCAGGCTCTTGTGGTAGTCTTTCATTCCTCACAAAACCCATGCACTCCTACTATGTGCTATTATTATTCCTGTCTCCTAATCCACACAAACTTCTGGTCTTCTTCAGGAGACCAGAGTCCTATGAGACAGGCATAGGTGATCTTGAGGAATCCAAGAAGGGGATCTTCAGAAGTTCAGCAGGGCAACAGCTGGCACTTGGAAGTTTCTCTTAGGAATAATAGTGTCTGGGGCAAGTGGCAAGGATTTAGTTACTGGGTGACAACACCAAGGCAGAGTTCTTGGCCTTGAATGAAGTTTTGCTGACCCAATTATTCAAAGTAATGACCTCAACTATAGGTTGGGACACAATTATGTTGGAGCTATAGATGTAACCCCATCAACAGAACTAGATCCCCCCACTCACCCAGCAGGATGACATTAGACACTTCCAGAGTCAGATGGACAGCTCTCTTAGAAGATTTGGAGAAGATACAACACCTGCTCTTTCTCAGCTTCTTGAAATAGGCAAACAAGAAGTAGGATTTCTTTTTATACATTCAAGTGATAAGTAAAGAACATAGAGAACAATTTTCTGATTTCCACTGAAATGTTATTAATTTCTCTAATAACCTTATTTAAAAGAGAAATTGACATTTTTGTATAACTTATCCAATCAATGTTGACCTCTGTGGATCACTGGATTCTTTTTTTCTTCCATATTCTTCCTTTTTTGGGGAGCGGGGTACTGGGGATTGAATTCAGGGGTACCTGACCACTGAGCCACATCCCCAGCCCTATTTTGTATTTTATTTAGAGACAGAGTTTCACTGAATTGCTTATCTCCTCGCTTTTGCTGAGGCTGGCTTTGAACTTGTGATCCTCCTGCCTCAGCCTCCTGAGCCGCTGGGATTACAGGTGTGTGTGCACGCCACTGAGCCCAGCAACCATTGGTCATTTTGAAATATGGAACTTGTGCGCCACTATGCCTGGCTTTTTTTCCCCATATTCTGAAAAACCATTGATTTACTAATTCACTCCTGAATGTTGTGAAACCCAATGGTCCTGTGTTTCTGGGGTTTTTCTTTCTTCCATTTTATGAAAATGAGGGCATCTGGCTAAATCTGAAGTTTTTAAGAGTTCTGACATTTTTAATGTATTCTCAACATGGTTTCATGGTACTATGAACACATTTCTTTAAGGTGCTGTTGTCTAAACTTGAATTTTTTAATTTACTTAAGGTAATCAGATATTTCCTTAAAACTTCTTCTGCATGTCTTTGGTTTCAATTCCCTATTGATGAAAGAATTTTTTTTGGTGGGGTGGGATACCGGGGATTGAACTCAGGGGCACTCGACTACTGAGCCATATCCCCAGCCCTATTTTGTATTGTATTAGAGACAGGGTCTCACTGAGTTGCTTAGCACCTCACTAAATTGCCGAGGCTGGCTTTGAACTAGTTATCCTCCTGCCTCTGCCTCCCGAGCCAATGTGATTACAGGAGTGCGCCACTGTGCCTGGCCCTGATGACAGAATTATTTTTTCTCACTACTTCAACATTTAAATATTTATAATGTGTATGTAAATATTTATTTCACAAATGTAAATAGTCAACTACATTTATATTATATAACAAGTTCATTCTTTAAGCTTTGTGTTCTAAGGATAAAGGTCTTTTAAAATCAAACATTGACCTTTAATTATCACTCTTTTGATAAGATTTAAAGAGATTTTAATGCAGTATTTCAGGAAAAGCCGATAATAAATTTCACAGAATCTCTGCTGTTTTTCTTGATATGAATTTCATTTCAGTAATATTGCATTTCATTGTCATTTGACTCTATAAAAACTACCTTACTCTTTGTGTGTGTGTGTGTGGTGCTGGGGATCTGTCCAGGCCTTGAGCATGCTAGGCAAGTGTTCCACCACTGAGTTACACCCCAAACCAATGACTTTACTTAGTTTTGATTACAAAAGTCATATGTTCATTATGTAATTTTTAAGATGCAGATATATACAATTTTAAGATGAAAAAAATCAGAGGTTATTGTTGTTAATATATTTGTGCGTTTCTCTTTAATTCACACATTTATTTACTTATTTTTAACATTGAGTCTATATTAAATATGTTGTTTTGCAACCTTCTTTTTAATTTAACAATATATTGTGAACATTTTCCATATTATTAAATTAAAAATAAATGTTATATGGTTATTAAGCACTGAATTTTTATCATTTGCAAGAATATGGTTTTAATCATCATATTCATAATTTTCTGATAAAATAGCTTTTATCTATAAAAAGAACAAGAGATTGGTTGAGTAGCTTTAGAATGGGGTTCAGATTCTTTAGTGCCCAGTGTTTATTCTAATCTTACTTTTAAAAAGTGATACAGCTTTGGGGCCGGGGTTGTGACTCTGTGGTAGAGCACTCGCCTAGCATGTGTGAGGCACTGGGTTCTCTCCCAGCACCACATAAAAATAAAAAACAAAATAAAATAAAGGTATTTTTGTCCATCTACAACTAAAATATATTTTTAAAATGTGACATAGCTTCAAAATGCCTCAGTTCTCCTTGATAAAACAGGGGAGCTCATTTGATTTGCTCTTTATAGAGAAGCCAAAGGACTAGCTGTAGTCTTATGTCATGCTGCTGAGCACCAACAGGAGCACAGGGAATAAATTAATTGACAAAAGTATTTTCCAATAGAAATCACTTAACTAGGGAAAAATAAATTTAAAGTGCAATAGCATATTCTTCTGGGTCTCTTGTTGTAATATTTCTTGTACAGCTAATTTATTATTTTATCTGTTTGTTTTCAGGAATTACAAATATACGCTGCTCTGGCCACCTCTGGGTAGAGCCAGCCACGGTTGTTAAGATGGGTGTAAATATCTCTATATATTGCCAAGCAGACATTAAGAACTGCCAACCAAGAAGACTTAATTTTTATAAAAATGGCATAAAAGAAAGATCTCCAATCACAAGGATTAACAACACAAGAGCTCGGCTTTGGTACAAAAACTTTCTGGACCCACATGCATCTATGTACTGCACTGCTGAATGTCCTGGACGTGTTCAAGAGACACTGATATGTGGAGAAGATGTTTTTTCTGGGTGTAAGTGTTGGGGCACATTCACAAACAAACCCAAACTAGTCTAATAATGCACTGGTAGTTGCTAGGCTTATCTGAAAACAGGCAAATTGACATAGTTCACCTCTTAGATGGGCTTAATAATGGAGCTTTTAATGCAAACATCTCCAGGGTCAGGTTAGTGAACTGTAAGTTAAGGAAGCTGGTAGGATCTGTGCGGAGAAGACGGCCTGTGGACTGGGTACGACCCTTGCCAGATCCAGCCTTCATGGGGGTCCAGTATGCCTGGATCTTTTGACTCTCCAAAGGAAGGCAAAAATATGAATGTTTAATACAAACTCTCCAAATTCTAAAATATTGAGAAAGCATTCAAAACACAATGATTTTCACCATCAGCCTGGCCAGATAGGGCATATGTGAAAGTTAGTGCCTCAGATTTAAAATGTTCCCCTTTTCATCTTTTTCTCACTTATGCTTTTCATTCATTTCCAAGCTAACATAAATACCCTTGAAGAAGATACCATTCAAATATTTTGAGGCCAAGATTCACAAACTAGCTTTGTGTTATTATCATATTCCTTATATTCTGTGTAACCTTGGGCAATTTGCTTAACCATATGAACTTCAGTTGCTTGTTTGTAAGATGAAGCTAGTTTTACTAGCTGTGTTAAGTACTAAGTTTCAATAATTTACTTAAATGCATATTATAAAATTTATGTAAACACCAGTGCCTAAATCCTTAAAAATGTACCTTGGGGTGGAGGGGAATACCAGAAATTGAACTCAGGGGCACTCACCCACTGAGCTGCATCCCCAGCCCTATTTTGTATTTTTTTAAAATATTTATTTTTTACTTGTAGTTGGACACAATACCTTTATTTATCTAGTTATTTTTATGTGGTGCTGAGGATCAAACCCAGGGCCTTGCATGTGCTAGGTGAGCGCTCTACCACTGAGCCACAACCCCAGCCCCCTATTTTGTATTTTATTTAGAGACAGGATCTCAGTAAGTCGCGTAGTGCCTCTCAGTTGCTGAGGCTGGCTTTGAACTTGAGATCCTTCTGCCTCCACCTCCTGAGCAGCTGAGATTATGCCACCATGCCCAGCAAAAATGTGACTTTTTGATATAATGTAGGTAGTAGCTCATACAACCCCCTGCTTCTAATCCCATTACCCCTATCATGAATCACTGTTTGTTGCTGTGATTATTAAGAAAAAATTTAGTCAAGTTAATCTGAAAAATATATGCCAATTTAAGTTGTGTTCATAGTATTCTAAAAGTTTTGAAGTTACTGCAGTAAGATGAGCTGACTTATATAATTATATAATACTTTGTTCTTGGTTCTACTATTATGAAGGATACATCAGATCAGCAGTGTTTTTTAATCCAGACATTTTCTATAGAGAATGTTGCCCATTGTCAGTGAAAGATAAGGGCTTTGGGGGTTTTGCCATGTTCCTATCCTCCATGCTTTTGAGAATCAGATCTGAGTTCTTGCTTTCTCCTACCCTCTGCTCGATCCTCAACTAACAAGAGCCAGACCAGTGGCCTCCACATGAGGTCATTGCAGAGTACCAATATGGCCTCCACTGCAGCTGCCCGAAAAGCAGGAGGCTTCTTCATTCTGTAATGAGGCCATTGAGCTGCTTAATTCTGGGCAGCAATCTTGCCTGCTTCTCAAATGAGAACTATGGGAAAACATGCAGAAGAATTGAGGAAGGGAAGTTTTGGAATCAAATAATGAAGATGGTAAATATATGCCTTAAACTAATGCCTCGCACATGTGAAGTTTGCCCTAAATTGTGGAAATTAAACCACAGGCAGGTACTTTATCTGAGGTATGAAATCTCTTTAGCTTGTCCACATCCTCAGGAAACATAATCAACCCTCAATGCTTCAATACTTCACTATCTATCCTTTGCGGGGCAGGTGTACGAGGTGTACAATTTCTTCAGAGGACAAGAAAGCAACTTCCACAGTTATGGGAAAGAGTTGGTTGTTAGTTCAGGCTAGAGGGGGAAAAAAGGATGTAAACAAGTGTCACCTCTGTTAAAAGACAAAATTTCAACAAATACAGTTTTTTTTAGATCTAATTGGCTTTTGTGATTCATGAAACAAACGGAGCAGGAGCTCATTCTATATAATAGAAAGGTGCTCCACTGGGTGTGACAAAACAATTGATTTTTTATAAAGTGGGAACAAGAAAGCAGAACAAAAAAGGCATGGGGTTGGTTACTATCCTATTACTTCAGATTACTTTCCTCCTAAAGGTTAAAGTGCAGGGAACTTCCTGTCCTGCTTGTTCAGGTTGACTGGGCCTTTTCAGATTGGTTACTGTGAGTCTTCTGTTTTCAGGAAAAAAACCTGATCGCCTGATGCCTTAAAGTTTCAGTTGGATTGTGTGGCACTTAGCACAAGGTCACTCCATTTTGGTTTGGTTTGCTGGGGCTTTGTGTGGGAGCTTAATCCAAAACAACGGCCTCTTACAAATTTAATTTAGCACCCCCCATTCCTGTGTGGGCAGTTTGTGTGACACATTCTCTTAATCACCCCACTAGTCTTGGCTAAGGGGCCTCTGCCCCAAACCCTGGGCACTGTTTCAGGTCAGAGAAGGCCTCCCTTCCTGATGACCTATTTCTACACTTTCATTCTCTGCTGATGGCTCTTTAGAGAGAGCACATCACTCTTTCCATTCATTTCACTGGGGCGCAGGGGGGGTGGTTATAGCTCTTTACATAGATCTCTGGTTATGAGCACGGAAGTACAACTACCAGGTGAGAATTTACAAAAGCTCCCTGGATTGAAGCTGAATGTGCTCTTAGGCTCTGCATTCTTAGCAAACAAAACTTCCTATTTAAGTAGGTCAGAATAAGGCTTTTGAGGGTTTTGTGGCATTCTAGAAATCACGTTGCTTTCACTAAACTATTTGAACACAGGATATTCGTCCTGGGAGCTTTACTATGTCAATTTATCATTACTGTTTTGAACAAAATGATACAATGCACCTTTTTTGAATGAAGACAAACCATAAAAGATAGAAGACAAGTGAGTCATTGCTTTCCTTGAAAGAACATCCACCTATATTTAAAAGTTTCTCTAGTGTATAATTTGTGAAATACAAACTATCACAATTTCCATCATAAGCCATGATCTTAAACACGTAGATTCTTATCTGGGATGAAATGCACACATATTATGGAAACTTTGTTCTAACAGAGCCACACCAATCATAGGATTAAAAAGTTAATGTCTTTTCATTTAAAAATACCAAACCATATACAGTCGTCTCCACTTAATCATTTATTTAAAATTTTAGGCATCTTTGACTGAGATTGTCACTTTTACTTCTTGTTATGGACAAAGAAAGCTCATTTTTACCCAATAAAACCCCTGGAATATTCATGTTTAACATTACTATTAGGTATGAATCATTACTGCACATCAGGCCTGGCCTGTGCCCTCCTTGAATAAGGAATTGCAAGGTACTTTTCTTTTTCTTTTTCTTTTTTTAGCTGTGCTGGGGATGGAACCCAGGGACCTCTGCATGTTAGGCAAGCGCTCTATCACCCCCAGACCTCTTCATTTTAATGGCTTTCATTGACATTTTATTAATCAAGGCATACACTTCATAGAATAAACTTCACTGAGTGCTTTCTATGCTTTAAAATGTGCTCAATGCTAGAAATGCAAAGAGGGAAATCCGAGACCCTGCTTTCAAAAGGAAAGGATCTTTGGCTAGGCTCTGAATGAATAAGAATTTTGGTTGGTGATCAGTGACTGTCCAGATAATAGAGAACAGGTGGGATTAATTGGAAAGAGCATTTAGGCCGTCTCCTTGTGTATTTCAGGATATTTTTTAGAATCTGATTGAACAGCAGATCTGTATTCTTGGTTATTGAATAACCTGGCAATAAGATTTAGCAATCAGCAGATGTGACTCTCATAACTATACTCATAGGCTGTCTGTATGTCGCTTCACATTATCAAAAGCTGGGCTTATTTTTATATGTGTAGAGTTGTCTTTTGCAAAGTTAATTAACCACCGGACATTTATAATCCTGAGCATTCTCTTCATATAGAATGCTGTGGAGACACATAGTCCACAAAATGACATTTGTCTTTTGTGATTGCCCAATCAATGACATTCTGTACCTGAAAGCAGAGGAAATTATTGTAATCAACAAGGAATCACACTGCAAGCAATGTTAAGAATAAGTCATGTTTCCATACCTACTTCCTTTAAAGCTCAAAAAGAACGGAAAGATTTAGTTACCCTACTTGGAACCCAATTTCTCCCCACTGTAATTCAATGTTACAACTCACCTGAATGTTTTGAAGTACTTTGGTATGCTCCTAACAGTTTTTTAAAACTGTAACATCAATTGCATTCATATAGAAAGTTAAAAAAAAATTAGATTAGCAAAAACAGAAATACTTAACATCTCCATAATCCCATAATTTTACCAATAACATAATCTCTCTTTAATGATTTGGAATATGTTTTTTGAGTTTCAGTCTTTTTCTCTTTCAAATGAAATCACTATATGAACTATTTTGCAACATGCTTTCTTACTTTATCATATGGTCATTGTGTAACACAGAAGTTGAATTTCAGGTGGGTTCTTTGTCTTGTGAATTTGAAGAATGAAATCCATGGACACAAGGGTGAGAGCAAAGTACAGGATGTATTAGAGTAAGAGAAAGCAGAGCTCCTGAAGAAGGAGGGGTGCCCATGGGTGTCTGTTATCTAGGGATTTTTGTGGGCTTGATCTGTCCCTGTAGGTGATTGGTGGGATATAGGATTTTGGACAGAGGGGCCAATCAACTCTTTTTCTATTTTGTCTTCTTTAGCAAATTTGGAGAAAAGTGATTTCTAAGCCTTAATCAGCACAAGTGTGGGGGTGGGGTCTGTTGGAGCAAGAGGAAGTACTTTTGGAGGTAGGTAATGTCTAAAGCTGTTAAGAAACTGTCCTCGTGGCTAGGAATAACTGGGGTAAGAAGCTTAATTTCTCAATTCTCTCTTCCTCCTTTTCTTCTCTTAGACCCTTTTTCTGACTGATTATGGGTTGCCTATCTTTCTGTTTCAATCACTTAATCAATATATTTCTAATGTCTCCCAAAGGTTCAACCCTTAAATTGTCATTTACATCATTATTTTTGGATGTATTTTTAGGAATATACTATAGCTTATTTATCCCTGTGTTGGAGTATTAATGTAGTTTCCAATACTTTAGGGGCATATTTTTTTTAACCAAATGTTTTTATACATCGGTGAATAATTCATTAAAAGCGTATTCCCTAGATATTATTTCCATTTTTAAAGATTGTGATATGTGAAGTGCCCTCCATAAAGATTGTATCAATTTGTACTCTCACTAGAAGAGCATTAGAAGATTTCCCTGAGTCCATCCCAACACTGTGTATTTACATATTTCAAAATCCTTGCCAGTTGGATAGATCTAAATGATATCTATTATTGTTTTGATTTGCAATGAGGATAGAATTCATATATTTTTATTACTTTATAAGTAACATTCTTGGTAGATGGCTTGCAGGTAAAATGAAAGAGTACATTTGTATTTAAATCTTTGGATATAACTTCAAGTGTACAAGTCTCTATCTTTATTTTTTATGGTTCCCCCAATCTTCCATTTGTCTTGTGCTCTCTGGATAATCAAGTACTCCAGACGGTATTTCCCATGTAGCCACAAACTGAGAGCCATATTTGAAAAGTGGGTATATGATTAGCACTCAATATTTCCATACATCTTTTTTTTTAAACTTGATCTTGGTTACTTATTATTGGATGATACAATTGAAAATTCCAAATGCCATTCTGTAGTTGTTGGAAATGTATAGGCTTCAGAGGGCTGAAGGGCTGAAAAGGTGGCATCAGAACTGGCATTTTTTCCCATCCCTTGGGTTTAGTTTTTCCCTTGTTGGCTTCATTCTTAAGCAGACTTAAGGCAGCTAAAGGACTGTCCACTAAGACAAGATGGCCACCAGCAACTCAGCTCACCTGCTATTCACACAGCAATTTTAAGGCCACTGGGAAGAAAGCTGAACAGAGGTGAATGTAAGAGGAATGGAGAGTGTGAGGGAGAGAGAGGTGGGGGGTGAGATCTGTGAATACTGAACTATTTAAAAACTCTTTTTGATGTGGTCTTGGTGGCAAAATACACATAGCATAAATGCACATTTTTAGCATGTTTAAGTGCCTCTTTTATAATGGCTTTAACAAAAAAGACCCTTGGAGAATTCTGATTGATTCCTGGAGTCATGTGCTCATTTCCAAGGGGCATTCTCATATTAGCCAGCCTAGGTCAAGGTTTTGAGACATGAAATACATTCACATTGTTGTGCAACCATTACCCCACTCTCTTCAGAACTCTCTTCTTGCAAACTGAAACTTTTTCTCCATTAAACAGTAGCTCTCCATACACCCTATCCCAGCCCTTGGCCATCTCCATTCTGCTTATTGTTTCTAATAGTTTGCTCTTCTAAATCCATCATGTAAATGGAATCATAAGGCGATTCTTCTTTTCTCTTTTTTATTTTATTAGTGTTATGTCTTCAAGTTTCATCCATGTTGTAGCATGTGTTGAAATTTCCTTCCTTTTACAGTTCAATATTATGCCATGATATGAACACTGAACTTTTAAAGCAAGTGGGGGAATATGTCCCAGAGGGGGAGATAAGCTGCTTAAGTAGCAGGAAAAAAAAAATTGCAAAGAGCCCTTCCACAAGAGCCTAAGAACAGAGGTTTCAAGGAGGGAGTGACCAAAATGTCAAGTGCTACAGAAGTCAATTTCAATAACAACTGACAAGAGAGAATGGGATTTGGGAAATAGAGTCATTATTGACCTTGGCATCACTGATTTTAATAGAATTGTATGAACTGAGTCCTGATTATTTGGGGCTCAAGAGTAAATGGGAGATGAAGAATAATGGACTGTTTTCAGATGTTTTGCTGTGAAGAGGAGGAGACAGATACAGTGGTAACTGAAGGAATATAGAATTTGGGATAAGATTTTTTTTTAGTGGACAAGGATTGGGGTTAACTTGACCTTGTTGGTATTGCCAAAGGAGCGGGGAACATAGTACAGAAGAGAAGCAATGTTTGATGGCAGAGTGGATTGCAAGGTGAGGTGGATGAAATGAGGAACAGAGAGTTGCTCAGTGCTGGCTGGCCCAGTTTCCAAAATAAAACAGTTTATCAGCTAACTACTTTGCAAAGAACTTTATGTTTTTTGTGGATGCTCCTAAGTGATACATTTTGTTGCAGATCCACCAGATGCTCCCAAGGAGGTCACCTGTGTCATTTATGAATATTCAGGCAACATGACTTGTACATGGAATACTGGGAAGCTCACCTACATAGACACCAAATACATGGTCTACTTGAAGAGGTAGGTTCCTTCTGAGGGGGTTCACATGTGCAGTTCCATTCCATTCAACCTGCGTTCAGCCTGCGGCAGAGATTCAAGAAATCAACTTCAAACATTAAACATATGCTCTGATTATCCCCATCTTCCTAATTATGATCAAGGAAACTAACAACACCTGTCTTGGGCCATTCATATTTTAATATCTCTGTGGGGCAGTGTATACTCTGACTTTTCTATCCTTTTTATTCATTGGTAGATAACTGGTAGATAGCACCTAATGGCGTAGCTCAGCAAAGCTTTAAATTGGCTTTAATCCTAGCCCCATTCTCCTTTTAGGATTAGGACAATTTACTTGGTTCTCAAATTTGCTAATTTTTTTTTTTTGCGGGGGGGGGGKGGTACTGGGACTTAAACCCAGGGGCATTCAACCACTGACCTCAGCCCTATTTTGTATTTTATTTAGAGACAGGTCTCACTGAGTTGCTTAGGGCCTCACTAAGTTACTAAGGCTGGCTTTGAACTCGTAATCCTCCTGCCTCAGCCTCTGAGCTGCTGGAATTACAGGTATGCATCCCTGCACCTAGTACTGATTCTTCAACATGGGATTCAAGTAGAACCTAATGCGTGGGTTTGTTCTAATTATATAAATGGCATTTGGCTTTTAAAGAATGTACACGAGGCCACGTTCAGAGTTGGCACTAGATTCACAGATGTTTTTGTCCCCACGACAAAAACTGGGCCAACTAGTACTGAGACGCTACCCAGGGGAATTCCAAAGAGTTCCCCCCAAAAGAAAGGGAATGTCAACTCAGCCCCTGCAGGTTCTTGACACACATTGTAGAAGGAAAGTTCAGGACATAGAGGCACAAGCAGAGATTAGTTCAGGGAAACAAGCAATAGAGCAGGATGCGTGCTGGAGGGGAGAGGGACTACGGGCACTTGGGGTTCAGMCGTGCTTTTGTGGTCTCAGGCTTCCTTTTTTAGAGGAAACTTTGTAAATGGTAAGCATTCGTAGTACTGGGGTGGAGTCACCTTAATGAGCTTGACTCTCTAGATCATGGAGCACAGAGCTGGGTATGGTGGTCTGTTTCTTCTCAGAATCTTTAGGTTGACATGATCTAGTTAAGAGCGCTTGGACGTTCCCTTATCATGGGTTTTTAACAGCATCTTTCTCTAGGCTTCTTTTAGTCTAAAAATATATCCTGCAAGCTAACAAGACAYATTAGCACTAATTAACTGGACTTAGAATACTCTAAGATTTATTGGACTTTTTAAGTATCTGGTCTGGAGGAAAAAAAGGCCTGGGAGTGAAGGCGAAGACCTTTGTGGAATTTTTAGGTTTAAATGACAGCCTCTCATTCCTTCCCTGTTTGTCTCTGTTCTACCTATCCTTATATCTTCTATCCTACCTCAGTAGTAACCTCCAAATATGAATTTAGTGTCAGTGCAGGCCAATCAGTTTTTCTTAGGGGTGTCCAGAGCATAGGACTTTCMGTTTTAAAACTTGGAAAGTTTTGTGGGCAAACTGGGGAGAAGTTGGTAACCTTAACCATGTTTCTTRTTTTATTTATTTATTTTTAAAGAAGCAATGCCTTCTGTAGTGAATTCAAAGTATTAGTCATCCTCAAAMTTTTCATGAGCTACTTATTTTTTAAAGGACTTACTGGACCCTTACTGTGTGCCAAGCACTGGGGCCAAGAGCTTTATATCCATGACCTCATTTAATCCCCTATACAACCTTGTGAGATACATACAATTATTTTTCCCACTTTTATAGACAAGGTACTGAGACTTAGAGAAGTTAGGTGATATGTCCAGACCCAGGCAGCCACAGAGAGGGGCAAATGGGAATTGAAACTGGGCCACCAGATGGCCTCCTTCCTGTCTTAGCGTGTTTCTGCTCAAAGGATGTGGGAGACCAGATCAAGGGCATGTTTTAGAGATGCTACCAGGTCTCACCATTAGAGAAGAGAAAAACCTTCGAATCTTATTCTCTCTCTCTCTGTGTCTGTCTCTCTCCCGGTAGGTACTCAGAATAATTTTAACTAAATGAAAAATAAAAAGGAACACCTCTTCAAGAAATTCTGGGTAAAACCTGGACAGACTGTATAAATACATTACTAAGCCTGGGATTACCAACTGTTTGCCATGGGCAGGAAGCTCCTGCTTTTTATTCTGAGCAGGGGCTAAACAGGATGGTGAGATGTCAAAGAAACCATGAAACCCTGGGATCAGAAGTAGACAGCAGTGATGGATAACATACAATGTGCTAAGTACTATACTCCGTGTTTGTGTCTTCAATTCTCAGCTCTGCCTTGTGCAGAAACTCTTGTTCTCATTTTATAAGTAGCTTGGAGAGTAGACATTGCCCCTCCAAAGTCATTTGGCTAAGAAGTAGGGGAGCTGGAATTCTAACAGTTGTCTCTCTGGCTCTACAGTCTGATACTTAACCTGTATCCTTGCTTTAATGCAAAGCAGTCGCTCCGAGATGCAAAGAAGTCAGGAGGACAAGAAAACTAGAGTCTCATTACCAAGTTAATTTTAGAAATGTGAAAATGAGAGGTGCCTGAGGGCAAACCCCATACTTTAAGCTCACAGAAAAGCTAGGTAATAGCAGACTAACAGAGAAAGCTTGGTAACTTAAGGACTTTTACTCTTTTATGGAAATTGGATGTATCTCACGGACTTCCTCATCTTCTTGTTCTTCTTTCCTTCCATTTTGCTCTCTTTCTCTATCTTCTATCTTATATAACAGCATTATTAAGTATAATTCACCTACCACACAATCCACCTTATTTTAAGTATACTATTCAATGATTTTTGTTAAATCACAATGCAAAGAAAAGACCACGGACTCCAATTTTAAATCAAATTAAAACAAGCTTGTAATTCTGGCCGGGACTGTCTCTCCCAAAATCCTTGGGTTAGAGAACAGCACCCCAGCTCTCTAGGAGCATAGTTTTATAGCATAAAAAGTTACAAAAGGTGGGGGGGGGTGCCTTGAGAACTTACAGATAACAGTATTTTGACAAGTATAATTCAAAGGCAGATAGTAGGTTAATGATCTAAGTGGTTCAGCATTTCAAGGTAGGGAGTAAATTTAGATCCCCAAGCCGGAATTTATGAAGTGCTGCCAAGGTTTCAGAGAGGGTTGTTATCTGGTCAGGGAAAGCCAGTCATGGGTGAGTTCAATGCATGGGCAGGCATTCCAAGCGAGTTTAGAAATCGCAGTAATTTATAGTAAAACAGAAATTAACATTTCATGACTTTGTGACAAGATGGTTCCCAATCTTATAGTGGAATTAGGCTGGGTTCATCAACTTTAGCAAATTCCTAGAGTTGTGCAACTATCACCACAGTTGATTTTAGAACATTTTCATCATGCCAAAAAGAAACCCCATGCCCATTAGCAGTCACTCCTTATTTCTCCACAACCCTCCCAGCACCTGGCAACTACTATTTTGTTTGTTTGTTTGTTTGTTTCTGTGGATTTGTCTACTCTGGATACTTCAGGTGAAAGGAATCCTAYAGTAGATGGTCTTTAGTGACTGGCTTCTTCACTTAACACAGTGTTTTCATCCATGTGCAGCACGAGTCAGTACTTCAGTCCTTTTACAGATGAATAATGTTCCATTCTAGAGTTTTATCACATTATGTTTATCCATTCATTAGTTGATGAGCATTGGATTATTTCCACACTCTGGCTACGTGAATAACATTCTATTAACATTTMTACAAACATATGTTTTCATTTCTCTTGGGCATATACTGAGGCATAGAATTTCTGTGTGTATATATTAACTGTTAGGGGAACTTCCGGAATGTTTTCTAAAGGAGCTGTCTTATTGGTTATTGTCATCCTATTAGGTATAGGTTAGTCAACTTTTTGTCACTGTGACCAAAATACCTGTCAAGGACAGCTTAGAGGGCTGGGGCTGTAGCTCAGTGGCAGAGCACTTGCCTCTCATGCGTGAGGCATTGAGTTCCATTCTCAGCACCACGTAAAAATAAACAAAATAAAAGTATGCTGTCTTATCTACAACAACAACAACAACAAAAAGCTTAGAGGACGAAAGGTTTATTTTAGGCTCATYCTTTCAAAGGTTTCAGTAGAAGGTGGGCCAACTCTGGACCCCATGGCAGAAGGGCCTGGCCGGGAATAGCTTTTCAGCTCAAGGAGGCCGGGAAGCAGAGAGAAAGGAGGAGCCAGAGGAACAAGATATAATCCCCAAGGGCACAGTCCCAGAAATCCACCTCCTCTTGCCACACCCCATCTGCTTACAGTTACCACCCAGTATTGTAGTCCTTTCAAATTATTAATTTATCAAATAGATAAATCACTGATTAGATCAGAGCTCCTATAATTTAATCATTTCACCTCTGAACATTATTAACAAAGGAGATTTTTGGGGAGACACCTCATATCCAAACTATAACAGGCTAATATTTTGGCAAACCCCACTCACCTGCCTTCTCCGGTTCCTGACAGTAGAATTGCATTGTACATTTGTGAGAGACATATCACAACTTGAGAAAATATATTCATTAGACAAAATTTCAAACTTGTTAATCACCTCCTAATTTCTATATAGTATCATTGAAATAGTCTCTGAGTGTTTTATGACTATTAATTATGTATTTCTTTGAGATCTTTTAATGCTTCAAAATTATATGTGTTTAAATTATTTGCCCATGGCTTTTGAAGGACACATCTACTTTATAAAGAATACCCGTAGTAGTTATGAGTACTGAGGCTGTTTCAGACTCAAAAAGTCACTCAAAAAGTATATGAAGTATAGATTTACAAAAGAGAATGCGTTCAGAAATAACCATGGGAAAGAGCGCCAGTTAGAGTTTTATATTTTATTTCTAGTTTAGGTATCTTTTATGATGCAAATATCATAAAACCCCAGTGCAGTGCATTAGTTAGCTTTCAATTTCTGCAACAAATCTTGATATAATCAACTTGTAAGGAGAAAAGTTTATTTGGGCTCACAGTTTCAGAGGTTCCTGACCATGAC